TGTTAATTGAATTTTAAAGAGGGCTTTTTTTTTTTTCTTTTTCCCCTCCCTGTCTCTCTTTTAATAGGGGGTTGTATTGTTGCAGAAAGAACAGTTATGCTAATGACTGACTACTTAGCTGATTTTACATTAATATAATAAACATTACCTGTCTTAATGTGTTGTACAGTATTATGGCAAAATAGCTAAGTCTAAAAGTGAAATTCCATTTTGCATAATGAAACAGAATTATAGTTTCCACATGAATAGTTCTAGCAGTGTGGCTTTTTTTTTGTTGTTTTGAAGACTGAAATATTATGTCAGAAATGTTTTACACTCCCAGGGTAGATACAGGTACTATATTCAGTATTTTTTATTTTACGGGGATCAGATACCAGCTGCGGCATTATGCTTTTCTGCTGGATAACATATCAGTGGTTTATCCTTTCTTGTGGTATCACCAAAGCTATTTTACATTGTTTCACTTGAGGTTTTCTGGATTTCATCTTTTTTGCACCTATTACTAATATAGTAGTCAGTTGAAGTTAATGGCTATTATGCTTTGCCTAGCTGGGTCTATTCCTTTTTTTTTTTTTTCCCCCATCGAATCCACGAGTTTGAACTATTATTCAGTCATTGATTCTTTTTCTGTGTTCGGTTACATTTTTGCTCCCTTTAACTTTTGGGAATGAGACTTCTATCCAGGAGACAGCTCTCCTGCCATGCAAGCACTTGGCATTTTAAACCTGTCAAAATCAAGCTCACCCCAGATGTCAAAAGGGAGGAGGAATATTCTTTTTAATTTAAAGAAATGATCTGAAATACGTATGTCGTATTTATTAGCTAGCAGTAATTTAACCATCTTCAGTAGCAGAAACATAACCTGTAAAAAAAAAAATAAAAAAAATGGCATTCTCTTTGTTTCTTTTGTGCAGATGTTAACAAGCTGAAATAATGTAGTTAGTTTTTAAGTATCTAACACAAGTGAAAGTGGGGAAACTATCGAGGACGAGATAAATCATAATTATTTTCATTCCCTTGACCCTTGCCCAAGTTAGATAAAACAGTGACATATGTGTCACTGGTGTAACTCCATTGTTGGATTTAGGGAGGAACTTAATTTAGGTTGTTTTAAGTTTTCCTTGGTAAGCATTTCCATAATAGAGGGTGTTTTCAGGGCTGGAGAGATGAGCAAGGAGGGAGGGCGAATGTGTTGGAAGCCCGAGAAAGAGCAAACAGCACCCGGAGAGAAACTGCGCGCGTCTGAAAACAATTGTTAGTATTAAAGACATTTTTTGCCGTTGATGGTATTAAGATGTCAGCAGGTCTATACTAGCAGAGTCCCGACAGCCAAAGCGCAGCTGTATTTTTACCTTTAGTGCCAGGTCTGCAGGCAGCTGGGTATCTGCCCCACCCTATTGTTATCAGTCATCATTGCAGCACACAGTTTATTAAACAATCATCACAATAACAGCAGCCGCAACAGTTCCTTCTGAAAATTAGCAATAAACACCTAAATAAAGGGCGACTTCTGTTCCGCTTGGTAAGTTTGCATTCTTTAAATGGATCTGCCAGGAGTTTAATTTGAACTCCAACTCCCTGAAGGCAGTAAAACCAGAATTATTTTAGTTCTTCATAAACTGCCTTCTGTGATTCATTGTTAACTCAAAACACACACACACATTTCCATGCACTTAAACGGTTAAGCCGTTTTCAAAGTTGGTTTGTAATGTATTTCTTTGTTTTGCTGGTGACACGTTCACCTGGACCTTCCAGAGAGAGAGAGAAATCTAAAATGAATTTATAGCCCCCACTTTAGGTTTCATGTGTGATCAGACACAATATCAGAGATAAACATTTTGATCTAAAGTAATGTGCTGTATATTGTGCGGTATCTAAAATAAAGTTTAGTTTTGACTGAATACACTCAAAAAGGGACCCATAAATATAAGAGAGCTGTAGTTAAGAACTTACATGACTGTTTTAAATACTATTGATTTAAACCACTGGCTGGATTTTATGAATCAAAGTGTAATTTCCAAGCTTTGGCTATATTTCTCAATGCTAAAGCAGTCTCTCTTGTGTGCCTTTAGCAGCTTTCCAGACATTCAACACAGGATTAAATGATAGTAGTTACAATGATCAATAGGTTAAGACCGGTACAATCACTCTTACCGCTAATGACCTCGGTAGTAATGGGTAATAAAGTGTGGGCTATAATAGCCTATTGCTGGTGCTGCATGCCCTTTGATTCCTAGTATTACTAGGGACTAGGTACATGAAAAAGTTGGACGTTGGGAGTTAAGGGAGTGGATATATAGGCCATAATTCTTAACTATTTAAAGTCCTTAAACAGGGCTCTGTATTTTTTTTTTTTGACACAATAGTTTCTGCTCCATTTGAATATGTTTGTGAAAGGTTTCCATAATTTATTTTCATGATATGCTGGAGCAGAAACTTGGGGTAAATCTAACTTTTATTGCATTGATAAATTAGAGGCCGAGCCCTCGGCAGAGGCTCAGAGCTAACTGGTGTGAAAATGTGGTTTCAGATGGTAAAACTAAGTTGAGCTTATCCACACACTCCTCCTCTCTTAAGCATGCCATATAGCCTTTTTTCCTTATCAGTAAAGTACTCCTGCTTTAGCAGAGTATGCAATAGGTAGCAAAACTTCACAGTTGCTTTTGCAGCGTAGGGCCAAATCCTGGCCATGCTGGCGCAGAAGGGAGCGGGAGTTGTTTCTGTAGAGCCAAGGGCAGAATGTGGCCCATACTATTAATCACCAATGTGTAGGGTTTGCAGAACCCCACCTATTCCTGTCTGTATCCCTGGTTGCCGTCATAAATCTGACTGATGAGTGTTTGTGTTGTCTGTCTTCCAAGAATGGCACAGAAAACCTACTTAAACATGCTTCCTTTTCTGTTTGCTCAATCCAGCTCAAGCAAAAGGTAGCCCAAACCTCAGGGTAAAGAAAAAGTGCTTTTGGGATGGGATGATGCAGATGAGTCATGCTCGGGCCGGGATGGCGACTCCTTTATCGGTTTAGGGATTTTCTACTCGGGTGGGGAAAAGTTTGAATGTTAAAACACGGTGGATGTTAAGTGTTAGGTGCCTTCTTAGTTGGGACGACTGGTATGTCTCGGTTTTGTACCACCTGACCCTGGTAGTTGTGTGTGCAAGGACTGGCCGGGGTGTTTCCTATGGAAATGCAGACAACTTAATCCCAGTCCCTCCCTAATCGGCCGCGCATTTTCGCTGACTTCAGGGGAGCCTGGATTTGGCCCCGTCAATAAAGCTTTATTTTCATAAGGATCACACGGAAAAGTCCGATGTAAATGATGGCGTATCGTCCAGCTGTGTGCCGTAACCTACATTCGGGAACACGGGGCCATCCGGGGAACTCCTGGGTGACCTTCCAGTGTTATGCTAATGAGATGTCAAGAGCGCGTAACCATTTGTTTGACTCTTTCCAACCCGCATCTTGAGAGCGGTTGCTGGCCCTTGCACACAACATGTACACAACAACACTGGAGGACGTGCACTGTACATGCATCTGACCTTCAGGAACCATTTTTAGTTCATCAAAATTAGTGATGCTGAGAAATCAGGACATCAGTGCATAATGACTGTGAAATTAGGAATGAGAGCTCGCTATGCAAATGACAGGACAAATCATGTGAAAAAGTCAAGATAAACTGCATATTAAGACATTATGTTACATAAAATTAATACTGCATTTCTCCCTTGCTTACTACTACCCTGAAAGATTTTTTTTTAAACTCTTTTATCTTCTGATCAGCTATTGTCTGCTGATTTTTAAAAAGTGGTGCATAGAAAAAGTGCAAAACATGTTATTACCTTTTATTGTAATACATGAGATGACAGGAGATCCTTTTTAACAAAGTATATCCTTTACTGCTTTTAGTTTTGTGCTGTCACATATTTGATTTGAAACTATAGAAAAGTACGGTGCTTAAATATTACTGTTAAAAGTCATATGAGTTTTGTCTTCTCTCTATTGTTTTTTCCCCCCTTTTCTCTTTTCTTTTCCTTTTTCAGGGAGGGGGTTTCTAGTGAAATAGTCTTCTTGCATTACTGGGACTGACAAAATGGTTCTCATGTAGTCTGCAAATTAAACACAAGTGCAGTGATTATTTTGAATAGCTAAATTACATTCTAGAAAGCTTGCAGAATTCATAGCATTGTCATTAGGTATCCGCTTGAATACAATTTGTGTAACCTTGGCCAAGACAGCCTGTCATTTTAATGTCAGTGTTTTATCTGAACAAGACATCATCCTTTCAGATACAGTGTACAGGTTCCTTGCAAAGATGCCCGTGCAGAAACGTGTTAACAGTTGCAAATATGAAATGCTATCAAGTTCATCACTGTAGCTGTTTGTCACTGAAATGTCATGGAAAGCGGCTTTTAATGGTATCTCACATAATATGAAAGAATTGAAGACATCTGTATGCTGGGTGAATATGGAATGGTAAAGACATTGTAGTAGGATCTTTCTGCTAAAATTGCGTAGAAACACAGGTGCTGTTATTCATATCGCTGAGCTTTGCTTCGTTTTCTTAAAATCGCCGGCTTAAAAGGATCCAGATCTCATCAGCATGGGAGACCTGCTTGGGTTTTTTGGTGTTTGTTTTTTTTTAGGTGGAGAGTGTTTGACTGGACGCTGTCTTGTGAAAATAAATGAATCTGAAGAGTTGTTACTGTATTTAGTTTTGTTTGAAATCGTCCCCCTTGCAGTCGCGTTTTGGAGGAACAAAACAGAATCGGTGCTTTTCTGCTTATTCTGGTGGGCTGTACAGGCACGCGCACCTCCCGTTACTTTAGGGCAAAACAAAGGCTCAGATTTATGCAACGCAACAGAAGATGGGATGGTGTCTTAGCTGAACCCGCTGGGCAGGCATTAAAAAGGGGGTAAATAATTCTGCTGCTTGCTATTAGAAAGCAGACTAAAGTATAGAAAAGTGCTCTGACTTCTTCTCTGTGGTCTGTTAATGCTTCAGGTTCCAGTGTCAGTGGCTATGATGACACCTCAAGTGATCACTCCCCAACAAATGCAGCAGATCCTCCAGCAACAAGTGCTTACTCCCCAGCAACTCCAGGTCCTGCTCCAGCAGCAGCAGGCACTCATGCTTCAACAGGTAATTGTTCCTTGAACAGCTGTCGAGACGGCTATTGTGGGTAGCAGAAGGCTACCGTCCCTGAACTATGCCTGCAGTCAAAGCTGCCTAAATACTGGTGCCCATATCTCCTCTGTGGGGTGAGCTGGTGCCTCTCTTGTTTCGAATACTAGTGGCGTTTGAAAACTAGCAGCCTTTCCCAGCTAGCTGAATTATCACTTAAAGGTGTGTGAATTAAGTGTCAGGGCTTTTACAAATGCCCCCATTGCCTTCACCTTCCTCCTCCAGAAGGTATTGATGTGCCATGATTAACTGGAATAAATGTGATAGTAGCAACCAATTTTTTTTTTCCATTTAAACTTGTTAAGGCTATATGGAACTATAGGGACCATTAAAATGGTGATGACAGAAACACAGAGCCGTTAGCATATTTGCAAGCCTTGAGCCTTTTAATTTCGAGGAGACGTGTACTTCGGTGCATCCGTCTTCCCGGGCACTGCATTTCATCATGTCCCATTTCAGCTGAAAAGTTTCACGAAATGAAGTATGATTTGGAAGTTTACTTATCTTAATGTGCCGCACAACATTAATTCATTAATTCCATGATGACATTAAAGTCCACTACAAGCTGACCTTGTGTACTCTCTCCTCACTGTCACTCTCACTCACTCACTCATTCAACTGAGTGGATGTCTCAACCGCATCCATCTACCATCCATCTGGGGAGTAGGGAGAAGGAGGGGTATTATCCATGATGTCTATGCATGCATTGAACAACACTTAGTGCAGTCAAACCCTATCATTTAGAAAGCATGTATATGTTTCACAACAGAGATTTACCAGGCTCTCTCAGCAAGGGCATTTTGGCTTTGTTGTTACAATCAAAGGTCATTCCTTGCCTTATTTTAATTAGTTTGTGTAGAAAATGGTATGTTTTTCATCAGTTCATTTTGGAGATTACTTTTCAAACGATAATGCCAAGAATAGTCAGTGTGCACTGAATTTATTGTTGAGTTTCAAACTAAAGGTCAGACCATTACAGATAAAAGGATGCTATTTTTCAAATCACAGTTTGTGTATTACACCAAGAGGGACACTGAATTGGCTCTCCACTTTGTTACTCACCGTCTTTCCTTTTCTTTGTAGCAGCAGCTTCAAGAGTTTTATAAGAAACAACAGGAACAGTTGCAGCTTCAACTTTTACAACAACAACATGCTGGAAAACAGCCGAAAGAGGTACAGACAATACCCATTTTACTTTCAAACCACAGATCCCAGAGGACTGTCTAGTGGCTATTAAACTGTCATTCGTCTTATAAATGATTGCACAACTGAGCTGACTCTATCAGGTCTCAGCTTTCAGGGCTAGAGTTATTGTCCTGTTTTCTCCTTTATTTTCCTGTGCTTTCCATTTGCTGGCTGCCTCATATTTTATAGCCCAGGAACATGCCTTGCTCTTTGGTGTGACTATTGGCACAAGTGTCTGGACTGGTATCTTGGGAGAGTGTTGTTAGAAGTTAGTTATTTTACTTGGGATAGGAAAAAAACAAATCTACTAGTCAAGACACTGCGAAGTCGAAGTAGGGAAGTACTTCAAGACAATGCGAGTGCAGCTTTGCTGGATCGAGGCAGAAGCTCAGGTTACACATTTGTCTTGGTAGTTACGTAGAACAATGTTGTTGTGACAAAGACCAGCAAAATCTGAGATGCAAAGATAGGGCTGAAAGGTCATCCTCCATCCACTCCTCGCATTGTGCCTTGATACCGCAGCACAGGAGACGTCGCTCTTTTGTCCCTGGGATACTTCAGCAGGATGGGAGACGCAAGGGCCAAGGCGTCTGTCTGAACTTGGGACGCACGTGCTCTTCTAAGCACCTGTCCGAGCCTTGGCTTTGCCTATTGCACATTTAAGTTACTGTAGATTGTTTTTTGTTCAAATTTTTTTTTTTGTAAATCCCAATTCCTCCCTGAAGGGACACGAAGCAACATAAATCCCAGGCCTGGGACTTTTTTAGCATCAGTCTGTGGCATCAGTAGTATGCTGCTGTTTAGCATAAGCTGCTGCATGATGTCCTTTCCTCGCTGTGATGGTTTCGTGCTGGTGAGACAGTCATGCTGCGCTAAGTACACATTTAAAAAAAAAAAAAGAGGGGGGCTGACCAAATTTCCACCCTCCCCTCCCCAGTTTGGTAGCTGGTACCACCTATGCCAAGCTTCAACCCAGAGTGAATTTTTACAGCTGAGTTATAAACCCCTGAAAATAGGGGTTTATAATGGAAACGCTGACACAACCTTAACTATAGTACGCTAACGGGCGCCACTATAATAAAAAGGGAACAGATTAAAAAGTGTCTAAAATGTAAATCTAAAGGACTAACAGTAATTAAAATGGAAATGGCACAGGGAGGGAAGGCATGTAATTGTGAGATATCACTGTGCAGAATGCTCTCAGCTTTGTTTTGCTGGCTGTTTTTCTAATTCAGTAGGGCTTACTCATCAGTGGCAGTTCAATGCGCGTTAATGACTCTGGGATGCAGGCATCACTCTGGACAAAGAAATGATTATTGTGCGGTCAAAAGAAGTTCAAAGACAAGAAGGGAATTTCAGTTTTTTCCTTAGAGATCCACATTCAAGAGCATATAAATTAAGCCAAATGTTAAAAACCACAGTCTGAAAGCTGACTTCAAAGTCACAACTCTCTAATTAATGAACTGCGAGCTTCAGTTTGGACAAGTCGTGGTTTGATGCGCCCATAAATCAACATGACAGGTCTGTTTCACAGTCTCAGACAGTGCTTGTCATTGAGTCACATCAGATGTAAACACAGCAGAAAAAAGAGGGAATATGAAGGAGGTGCAATTGATCAACAGAATTGGTAAAAACCCACTTTTGAAGCGCATTATGCATGATCACAGGAAATGGCTATAGCCTCAAGAGGCTTTCTCCTTCTGCTGTTGCTTTTTTGAATCAGATTTCTAACAGCCTTCAAAAGGGAGAATAAGAATTATGGAGCTTCTCCCCTGTGGCTGGCAGGCAATAACCCCCTGTTGTTATTTTGTGCTTCCTTCTTTTCAAAGGCGTCAAAATTTAGTTTTTTAAAGATCTTTAACTCTATATTTGAAGACAAACAATAAAGGGCTGCCACTGTCATTCTTATCAGTTACCAGGGATTGTATTTTTTCTTTCTGTTGCCACTTCTTATTAACCTCTTATTTGGTCTATTAGACATAGTTTTGAATGCAAGCCTGCATGCTGGGAGAACATGAAAGTTCAGATGAGCTCAGAGGGCAGATAAAGAAATTTGAAGGGGAAAGTTACGCAGCAGAATGAACGATAAAAGTTAACTCTTCTAAATTGCTGTTGTCAGACAGGAGAGCATCTCAGACACAAAGATGATGGCTTGGAGTTTAAAGAAAAAAAAATACTTTGTGTTAAAAAGGCAAGAAGGGAAGTTAGACAATGTGATGGCATTTCAATATCTAACACCCTGATTTACTGTGGTCACACTTCTGATATTACACCATCCAAAGTTACAATAAGAAAAGACTCCTTCCTGTTTTAAGAGGAATAGTAAAACGTGAGAGATGAAAGAGAACAAGGGTCCAAATCTCTTTTGCTTTGGCTACTCGTTTTTCTTTTTTTTTTTGGCAGATGGTTTAAGCAGAGGCCTGTTTCAACAATGCATTTCATCCTACAGGTTTTTCAGTCCCGTTTTCCTGAGTTAAAGAGGGTATTCTTGCCAAATTAGCATGCAGTTGGTGGTCTTTTTTTTGTGCTAAAAGTGACAATAGAGTCACATGGCAGTAATTTTGTGATGTGGACTAGTGGTTGCGATTTTAACAAGGTTTGAACTTGGACATTGACAGATGGAGAAAGTGTATTAATTTACTGCGTCCCTCCAGTCATTAGTAGCTCGTAATATTGTACCATCGGTTTTAAAAAAACCAACAAAAAAACCCCCCAAATCCTGCTGGTGAGAGGGATTTGACCTATAACTGGGACAATATACAGCGCTTTTACTATCAATTTCTTTTAAATGATATCGAGAGGCATTTATAGTGTGGCGTGGAGTTAAGTCCTGCACACTATTTCCATTAGTGATTGTGAGAACCAAGTCTAAACCTCACTGTACACGATGCTTTTAAAAAATAGATATAGATATCTAGTCCATTGTGTCCACAAGACCGACTCCCTGGCATTGGAGAGCACTGTCTTTGATTAAAGGAGGACAGAATTAATTGTACATGGAGGTAGGAGCAGACTCTCGTTTCATGCATTCAAGTTGGGCTAAGTAATTTGTTTTAAAAAAGGCCGTTTGTCCTCCAGCAGTTATGACACTTTGTGGTAGGCAGTAGGGAGTAACCTAAGAAAGGAAAACAGACCTTTGACAGAAGCTTTAGGGAGGGGATCAAAAATGCAAGTTTTATCAGGATATTTCAGCATTTTAACACTGACTGCTGACCTGACAACAGGACTGCGCGGAGACCTTTTTTGTATGCATTCAATTGTGAGAAGTAAACAAACTGACTTGTATCCTGTGTTTGGTAACTGGGTGGGGAGCACAGTTTGGCAACGTGTGTTGCTTTTTAAATTCTTTCTTGGACAATGGGCCTTGTATACTTTTATATCCTGGCTTTTCAAAAGCAAGAGAGCTTTTAGGAGCCTTTCTTAAAGATAGCCCCGAAGACATCCAAGCTGGCATCACTCAGTGTATAGAAAGAAAGTAGTTTCTAATGTTAATTTACAGGGAGATGGGAAGGGAGCAGTATGCCCACGGTAGGGAGGGGTGTTTAACTCAAAATGGGATATCCCATTAGTGATTTTTGGCTGATGGATGTTAATATTTGGGGAGACAGTTTTTTTGGGGTTTTTTTTAAATCTGAGCATCGCTCACCGGGCATTCGATTCATCCCTTTGCAACTAGCAAAAACAACTGGATTATTTGGAGCAGACTGTTTAAAAAAGAGCTCTCTGGTTTTCAATTTATTTACATTTTATATTATCTGCTTCAATAATATTACTCGGTCCTGTAGCTTGTTTTTCAGAGTGAAGCAAAATTAGCTCTCAGCACTCCGATTGGAGGTTGGTTGCTAATGGGAGAGAAATGGGGTGGAGGGAGTTTTTTTTGGTTTGGGGGTTTGTTTGCTTTTTTGCTATAAAATAAACTATTTGGGGATTATAAGAAAAATAGTTTCCATGACACTTAACTTTCCCCAATAGACTTAAAATTGAGATTGTGTCAAGTTGACCATGACGGGGTCTGTTCTCTCCTCGTTGCACTTATGCCTCTCCCGTGATCTGAGCTGAGCGTTCAATACGTGAACGGGCAGAATCAATAATTGCTTGCAGTTGGGTTTTTATTTTATTTATTTTTGTAGAGACTTTGTAAAAGGTTGGGGCTGGATCTTCAGCTGGGGTAAATCAGTGTGCCTCCAGGCACTGGAAGGGATTTTACCATTTGACATTAGTCATGGCCCAGGATATCTGAAGTCGTTGGAAGGAGTTAAAACAAAGAGACCTTGTGATTGGACCATGATTTATCTGGAAGGGTGTGTGCATGTGTCTGCAGTTTTGTAAGAGTTAATTTTCTTTCCACAATTGTTAGCAGTAATGTGGATAAGACCTCCACCTTGATATGATTCCTAGCAGATTAGGGATATTAGATAATTTCCTTCTATTTATTGTACCACTGCACTGTATTATCTTTCTATCACTCAGATAATTACTAAGGAAATCTACATTAATTTTTTTTGGCTAGCACAAGGAACCGCTAAACACTGGCATGAAGTATTGATGTTTTACACAACAAAAGTTTTCCTCCTGTCATTGTCCAATAAATAAAAAGATATTTATCAAAATGCAAAGCCTTTCATGGGTTTTAAAGAACAAAGCAAATAAAACACGAGATGAGCATGGAAGCAAAACCTAGAGGCTTCCTTAACTGAAGCAAAATTAAGGACTCTGAAGCCTGGAGTACTGTACATATTAAACACTCACATTCAAGTAAGATGTTGTTTGCTAAATTATGAATGTGTGTAATTAAAATCTAGTGGCTGGTTCTATGAAACTTTTACAATGTTATTTCATCGTTTGTCATGGCTTTTCTATGAAAGATTTACAATGTTATTTCATCGTTTGTCATGGCTAATTAACAATATTAGATGAAGTTTTTCTTCTTCAAAGGTCTGATTTTTTCTCATTTATTTATGTCAGAAGTGATAAACAGAGTAGTTAAAAGCTTCTCCGGGTGCAACAGTGAGAAAAGCAACATGTTCTTTTACACCTCCAAGGTCCAGGGTTCGAATCCCAGTGGAGTACAGCAACTCTGTCGTCTTTAGAGTGAGAATAATTAAACATTTCAAAGCTCTGAAATAACAGTCTTAAAGAGGAACTCAAAACCTAGACAAAGTATTGCAGCTTGATTGATGAATAAGAGAGAGTCAGTCTAGAAAACACAGTAAATTAACCCAATCAGTTGCCTTAATAGTTGAGACAAGCCTTGCATAAGTATATGGAGCATGGCCTGGGATTATTTCTCATTCCACCTCAGCATGATGCCGCCTTGCAACGTGATTTCACACTTATTTGTGAACTTTTCGTTTGGAAGGATCGCCCTGCGCTGCCCAGACGGCAAGCAGACCCAACGTGCGGCCACTTCTGGGGTAACAACACAACAGTACAGAGCAGGGCAGCACGACAGCTTAGGCCACGAGTAAATACTTCATCGGAAATGGGAGGGAGGGTTTGAGTAGGAGGAATGCTATTGCCTGAGAGAGAATTTGACCACAACCCTGCGGTTCGCATCACTCCCAGAAGTGTGCCTTGGGATCTGTAATGGCAAGCAGGCAGGACTTTGGGCTGAAGATGATAAGTCAAGGTGTTTTGAAGTGGGGAGTGGAAGGGCTTTGAATCAACTATAAATGCATTGCTCTGAAGTGACATCTCTGCAATTTTCTGTTGTTTCTTCCAGCCCCAGCAGCAGCAGGTGGCTACACAGCAGCTGGCCTTTCAGCAGCAGCTCTTACAGATGCAGCAACTGCAACAGCAGCACCTCCTGTCTTTGCAGCGCCAAGGTTTGCTGACAATTCAGCCCGGCCAGCCTACCCTGCCTTTGCAGCCTCTCGCACAAGGTATGTGTTGAACCTCGGAGTTAGGGACTGTAGGGAAGATAACACATGTGCATAACATCATCACTAAAGAAAAGAGAGATCTCATAGGCCCCTAAAGTAATGAGTAAGGAAACAAGTTGGTCGGTCATTTCAAAAGAGTAGATATTCCTGGCGGGCGTCTTGGGAGGCATAGCCATGAAGATAGGGTTGCTCTAGATGGAGAGAAACAAACAGGTTGGAGTTCAGGTTGAGCTTGCCCAAGACGTTGAATGACTCGAAACAAATTTGGGTTTGGAAATCTTTCTTAAATGGCTCCCGAGCAAGGTGTCCGGCACATTGGTCCTGGGTGGTAGGAGCAGAAGAAGAGTCTTTCTTTTGTAGTTTCGGCACTACATCCTGGGCGGAGGAGACCTGAAGAACTCAGGTCAACACATCGCAGAAATGGGCAAAATGGAAATGCAGAGAACATGCAATGGGCCAGGTCCTCGGCTGGTATAAACCTGCAGGACTCTGGTCCCCGCTCACTGACGAAACCTGGCATCAACTCCACTGGAGCAAGTGCCATTCAATTGGCGTAGTTGGCAGTGAGGCTTTGAGTATCTTTCATAGTCACACTTTGGGGTCACCTGACCCCCAGTTGTGTTTTTCTGCCTAGCGCAGGGGGCTGGACCCGATCATCTTCCAAGGTCCCTTCCAGCCTTACATTTTATGAACTTCTGCGAGTCTAAGGTTGTTACGATGCATTTGGGGGCTGTAGGGCAGGTGACATGCACACTCGTAGCTTCCTTTTTCGTTGTGGTACCGAACACGGGTTAACAGCTGCATATCAGTCCTCTCCCTCTGCTTAACTGGGTTTATCCGTAGGCCTTTGGACATTGCAGGGGGCAAGCTTCAGCCCCAGCTGCTCTGTCAGAGGAGGCAGATCGTTGGAAGCTGGCGTGGCTTGAGAAGAAGCAGGTCCTTAAAATATAATGCCATTACTTCTGAAGAGTTTTTCCTTCCCCTCCCCAGCCTCCCCATTCCCCACCCCTTATATATGCCAAATATAAATAGCCATCTCAACAATGCCAGTCAGCTCAGGTTGAATGATTTGACTTCTTCAAAGCTGTTTATAGCCTCAACGCTCCTATTAGTTGCTAAACCCCAAAGTAAATTTGTATTCAGTTCTGTTCACTTAAACAGGGGGGAAAATTGCTCCTCTTCCTTTGCACTACTTTCCTGAGCATCTCTGCAAATAGAAAGGTGGTATGACCAGCAAGTTCAAGTTCTCTGCAGATAAAGGGGAGACATCTTTGCATGGTGGGATCTCCTTTGGCCAGTTAGGCCCCACCGTTTCTTCAACGCCTTTCCTGACTTCACTTAGGAGAGGTTTGATTCTGCATGTCTACCATGAGCTTGTATTGCCTAAATGGCAGGGGGCCTGATGCTAGAGATGCCACGTGTATCATCCGCCGGTCCGTTTTAGCGGAGGTTTTGTCTGCATGAGAGCAGCAGGATCAGGCCTGCGCTATTTACTTAGCAACTTGGAGGAAAAGTCTGAAACGAATCCAAAGAAGGCAGCACGTAGGGTAATGCCATTTGGACTTGCAAAATGTTTTAACATGCATTAATTACACCTTCAGATTTATTGCTGGAAACATCACAAGCTGTTCCTGTGCACCCGCTGGACTCCAGCTTCAACCTTCCTAATTTTTCCCACAGCTCCTATACTATTAAGTTTGCACAGTAAGGTTCATTGTATAGTACATCAGTTAAGCTGTCCAAAAGAGGGCAATTGGGCAGTGACAAGACACGCTCATGTGTAATGTGAAAGAAATGAATGTGGTGATGCATGAAGTGTAATCTGTGCAGTAACACATCAGAGACACCAGTAGGTAATTCAGCAGTCGTGGCATTGATTGATATGGTTAGCAGGATAGTATAACTATTAGTCCCTACAACGGTAGGAAGGAGCATATTTAAAATCGAAGGTGCCTGTCTGCATGTCAGAGATCACATAAACATAAACAGGGGTGTTTTGGAGGTCTGGGTCTAGGAGAGAAATGAGCTGAGAGTCATATCATCATCCCTTGCGAAACTGGGACTCGATGGAAAAAAAAAGTGACTCGAGAATTCAGGCAGGTTGGAATACAACACAATTTTTTTTTATCAGAGAGATGATGGCTTAAAACTGATGTCATTATGAGGTTTAAATCAACTTTCTGCTTGCTTGAACATGGTCACCTGGGTATGGAGGTACAAGGACAAAAAGAGGTTGAGCAACTCTGTTTGTCTTTGAGCCGGTGATACCTGGGGTTGTGAAATTGAGTTCCGTGAACAGTAATCTGTCAACTGTCCCCACAACATACATTTTTTAAACCTGTGCCTACATTTTCTTTCATAATGAAGGGGACTAGTTGTCCTGAAAAATGCAGTGAAGAGCCAGGGCTGTGATTTAAAATAATTGGTAATGAACACTTTTATTTAAAAAAAACCAAAAGTATATAGATTTATACCATTTTCTGTTTGGCATCACCGATACTGGAAAATATATAAAACGCTCCAGTGAAGGTAGACCTGTAGTCAGTTAAATGAATGCCTTTGCTAGCCTAGCTAGTTGTGTCATAGGTGAAAAGCCTTTGCTAGCCTAGCTAGTTGTGTCGTAGGTACCAGAGTAGTTGCAGTACGTATAAATGTCCCCAAGGACAGTGTCCGTTTGTGTGATTTTTGGTTTGGTTTGTAGAACTTGTTTGTTTAAAACATTTTTTTGCCTCGATGCTGACCTGTTGTCATCTAAGATAGCACATCTCTCATTTTATCATTGCATAATGTGGGGGGGGGGGGGGGGGGGGGGGGGGGAGGGTGACCAATTGTCCTTAGACGCCTCTCTTCCACTCTACGTGCACAGCAGCAATTTTCGAATAAACCCCATTTTGACAGTATTCTGCACTGTGAGAGCTGTGACTTCCAAACCAATCTGCAAAATGAAACCTGCAAATCATACTGCTGAGCACTAATAGGACTGAGGCACCTAGCTGCCCAATTAGGGGCACAAACAAGGCAATTACAGGTCTAAATCCTGGTATTTGCATGTGCAAAGTTGCAGGCACAAATAGTTGTGATAATTGCAGGTGCAGTTTTAGAGATTTGTTATCGAGAGGAAATCACGTAATAGTAAATTGCAGCTTTTTAATTGCGAGTGTTAGTGGATTCATTTGACTTGGTTTTAAGATTTATTCCTTCACTTTGGAATATATATATAGTATTGTTTTATTTAACCATTTTGCTTGATGAGCAGTGAGCATACTATACAGCTCTTCATTTGACAGTTCGGTTAGGAATCACCTTTGGAATAATCCTTAAAGATCTAACTCTTACTTTCTAATCAGATGATATCTGCAGTTTGATCATTTTGGAGGAACTGATGCCACTTGTGCAAGAATGACATCATAATTTAATCTTCTGGTACCCAGCTCCATTTGACCTATAAGCCTTGCTCTTATCGTTTAGATGGTTTTATTTTACATAGCATTTTCTGCCTTTTATTTCCAAATTGACTGTTATATTCACCTTTCCATATTCGGGCGCATTGCTCATTAATGTTAATGTGAGTTACGCTTATATAGTAAATGTAGAACAAATCTGCTGACTTTTAGGGTTTTTTGTTTTTTTTTATTATTGCTACAACACTTAAAAGCTTTGCCTTCAAACAAAGCATTAGAAAATCCAAAAATGATTTCTGGAGGAAGGAGGGGTGATATTAATGCTTCTCCAATTGAGAAGCTACTTGGCTAGAAATACAGATACTTGATGGTGGCAAAAAGAAGAGGGAGAGAAAAAAAGAAGTGTTATTCTTTTCCTATTTGCTTATTCTCAAAAATAAAAAATAGGTGTCGACTCGTATGGTCTCATATCAATATGTTATCATCAACAGACAAGTCTATTCACTATTGTTTCAATTGAGTAAACAGTGGTGGAAGGGTCAGCCGTATTCACAGGTAATTGTTAGTGTGCAGACAGTCCTGTCAAGCGTGTTAGCTAAAAATACATCCCACACTGTCACTTTGCAAGGTGTTTGAAAATAATAGCCTAGATGCAGCAAAACAGGACACAGGCTTGTGTACTGACCTTTCTCTTTGTTTAATTTGCCTCAGAGGTTTAATTTCAGGGGACACGTAATAATTGAATATGTCTAATAACTAAATGCTCATTTGGGACAAAATCCATCAAAATATAATTGGCATTTGGTTTTTATGAAAGAAAAATGACTTGACTTAAAGCAATAGATGTGTCCCAAGAATATCTGATCACTTAATGTATAAATTGAAGCTTCTTTTCTAATATATATTAATTGCAGATACTTAAACATTTTAGCATTTTTTGTAGTGAACCGTTACCAGAGACCAACTGTTTTTGTTAATGCTACTCTCAGAAAGGCGGGGAAGGTTATTGGTCTGTCGTGCAATAATTTACTCCTCTTTGATATGCAAACGATCCACGGTGAATATAAAAAAATCCTATCAGACTCATTTCACAGTTCTTAACCACTTAGATTCTCTGGAGTCTATCGCCTCATTAGACCAGTGCTCTCCAAAGCTAGCATAATTAAAATCTTTAACAGTTTAGCAAAGTAAAGATGTTTGGCTGATCACGTTGAGATGATTATCTATCCATTGTATTCTAAATGACAAAAATAAATTAAATTTAGACCTTGGCATTTTTTATTATGTGTTTCAAATGAATATAATGCATACTGCCTTTTTTTTTTTTTATTTCAATACCTTAGGTTTGGTGAGATACATGCCTGTTTGAGCTGCTGCTGTAGATTTGGAAAATGGCAGATTTCCTTAGGATAGCTGCAGCATTACAATAGAGTGAAACAATGAACAGTGATCCGAGTACCCTGAAAGTCCAGTTATTAGAGACAGCTTTCCAAAAACCTTCAGGGTTTTATATATATATAGATATATAGATATAGATATATATGTAGATATATATATATATCTATATCTCTCTCTCTCATCTATCTATCTATCTAGATCTATCTATATTGATAGATAGATAGATAGACACTTAGGCATCTTGAAGACTGCTGTCTTCCCACTTATTCTGTTCTGCCCTGGCCCTCCAAAATAACGCTGAACTAGTCTGCGATTTGGGAGTTCGACTTGTTAGAAAATGCATTTTGAATGAAGATACATTTATAACGTGATCCAGGGTGCATTGGGCCATATCACTCCCTGGTATAACTAATGGGATGAATTTCGCCTCCTGGAGTTGTACAGAATTCCCACCCGGGATACTGGTCGAACGTGGTAAACAGTGTCCTAAAACTGGTGTCCATTTTGACACGGTTAAGGAACAACATTTCTTTATTGTTTGAAGCTTATTTTATGTTTTCATTTTACTTTTGAATGGCTCATTAGCATTGATCTAAGAAATGACAGTAATAATAGTGTTACTTGTATAGAAAGTTATACAGTTTTTCAGTAGACACATCCATCAATTAAGCGAGCAGTACAAGAAACCAAAATTAATGAGAAAGATAGGTGTGTTAATGAAATAATCATAGTATAATCAATTTGACTGTTAAAATTTGAAAAGCATTTCAGGAAGACAATATGAATTCATAATTTACGTCTAAAAGTGATTAATAAAAACTGTATTTAATAACAAAGCTATTTGTCATCATTTAAAACTTAAGCACAAAATTAGTCATGTTGTGGTTCATGTTGTCATAATAACACAGTTGAATAATTTTCTTTGAAGACCTTTCCCGCTTTTTAAAAATAAGTTAGGAATTATTCCTTTTCCTTAAAATAATATTGAAATAAAATGGCTCAAGAGAGCTGCGCAGGAGACCCTGGCTCCACTCCTCAGCAGCCAGCTTTGCAAGCCAGGCTCCTTTGGAGCTCTCCCTGCAAAGGAGCTCGGGGATTGGGCCCTCCAGTAGAAAAATCGTAGTAATAATAATTAACATGAGGTGGGGATATTTTCCCTCTTTCTCAACACTTTCTCTTTTTTTTTTCTTTTTTTTTTTAAGGAATCTTGTTTTAATGGGAGCTAAGTGTTGGGCACTGAACAATTTAGCAGGAAATATGAAGTGTTACTTCAGTATTAGCCTTTAGTTTAAAAAAACCAGGCACACAAAACTAACACTAGGCTTTGTTTACTGACTCTTTGATTTAATTACTGTTTGAAGACGGCCGAATTAGCTGTTAATTGATTTAATTATCCAATTTGTTTGTTTCAGGCATGATTCCAACAGAACTGCAGCAGCTCTGGAAAGAAGTGACAAGCTCTCATACGGCGGAGGAAACAGCAAGCAACAACCACAGCAGTCTGGACCTCTCCACCACGTGCGTCTCCTCATCGGCACCCTCTAAGACCTCCTTAATAATAAACCCACATGCCTCAACTAATGGACAGCTATCAGTCCACACTCCTAAGAGGGAGAGGTAGGTGCTGGTGAAATTCGTATATATGTGCTGATCGAAAGCAAGAGCTGGTTACTGCGTGGTGTTTTCATCGATTCCTAGATGGTAGGGTAGGAAGGGACCTCAAGAGATCGTCGAGCCCGACCCCCTGCCTAGGCAGGAAAGTGTACTGGGGTCAGATGACCCCAACCAGATGCCTATCCATCCTTCTCTTAAAGACCCCCAAGGTAGGGGAGAGCACCACCTCCCTTGGAAGCCCATTCCAAATTTTGGCCACGCTTACCGGTACTGGCGACCTTCACATGAGAGGATGCAAGGATGACCAAATTATCCAAGCCCAAGTTTTGCCCTTATGATTTTGTTGGGTTATACAAGGTGTAGGTGGGGGTAGAATCTGGCCCTTTTGTTCAGAAGTTATATCTTGCTCGTTGGATTGCTATTACAGGAAGGTATGCCCTGTTACTTCAATTAAACTATATTGAATTTGGTCTCTGCTACGATGCTCATGTTTTTACCTTTCCCAACAATGCATTTGCATTATTGGTGATGTCCCATAATGCTCCAGCCAGGGGTGAGGAACAATTAGTCGGTCAGTGCCAGCCATTCTCAGTCGTCTACCTCATTGCCGTACTGCTGTCGCCGTCATCACACCACGTGACATAGTCGCATATACTTTTTGTACCCACCCACTGCCATGAAACAGGACACTCTCAAGTTGTCCACATTGCTGCAGGGGGGAGATTTCCCATTCTAAGTGCCTGTAAAATTTGTTAAATCATGGCGGACAGGCTGTAGAAATTCAGACTAATTCATACTTGCCCAGGTCACGCTTTTAAGGCTTGTTGCTTGACGCACTTCTTAGTACAAGTTCCATTTTATTTGAAAGATACTGTACTTCTCACCCCCTGCATTTCTAACTCTGTTAAATATAACTCTTAATTGTATTGATATGAATGTTCCTATATATCTGGCACATCAGATAATTGTTTGGAAGGCCAATGTGAGAGTTAAATTCAATCTGAACTGTACACAAAGAAGGTCAAACCGAGGTTCATATTATGTGATGCTGCTCTTGAAAAATATTGCCAGGTTCGTGCTTGCCAGGGACTGGTTTGAAGGAGTGCCCCATGTTGCAAGGAGAGGTGTAGTCCTAAACCCCAATGGCAGGAGGCATAGGTGTGTGGGGATTCCTTCCAGGGAGCCTGCTTTGTCCTGTCTCTTGGCCTCTTAAGTCTTTTTAGCTCTTGGAATGGAGCTCTTCATCTCAAAACCTCCTGTTTGCATCCTCCTATCGCGTTATCTGCTGGGCTGCTAGCGATGGGGGGCATCTGTGCTCCCTGTTGTGCACAGAGGACATTTGTACACGTGCTTGCCAGGCACTTTGAAAAGCTCCCGGTGCTGCAGCGCGTGCATCTGTATGAACGGCAAAATGCACGTCAGCACCGAGCAAATTGTGACGGCACGCTTTTGAACTGAAACGCATCGAAGGTGTTGTTTTAGTTGAAAAGCGCACCACCGCCATTTTCTCAGTGCCAATGCACACTTTGCCATTTATACACATTCATCCGACGCGGCACCGGGCACATCAGCTCGCGTGCAGAGCAGACTATATCGAGTCTGCTCTGACGCGCTGAATCTCCAGCTCCTTGGAACAGACAAAGGTATGTGTATAAATGCCCCAGGATCTCATTGAAAGTGGCCAAGCTGTCTTATGTCTCCATCAGCAGAGGCATTGGAGCTGTGTCTGCAGACTAGGGAAGGCTGGATGATGTTCACAGGTTTACAGTCAAGATTCTCTATGCTAGTCTTCCAACTCAATTTAAAATTTTAATGCAGGCCCGATTCTGCAGAAATTGCTGGTTCTGTACTTCCTATTCTGGGAAGTAGGTGAGTGGAATTTTTAGGTCCCCAAAACCCCAAAAGATTGCATTCCAAAGACTGGAAAGGACCTCGAACACATCCTGCATCCTGTGGGATATTCATCACACCCTGTGTCTTTCTAATATTAAAACATATAAATATATGGAGAACATCCCATAGGGGGAATGTTGAAAAATGCACTCACTTGAGAACAAGACTATTTAGATATTGTTATGTGTGGTAGGAATAATTTTTCATTCCTTGAATACATGGACTCAGACATGCTCACATTTGTGTGCATGCAGTCAGTATACTTTCTATGAAAGGTATACTTTCTAGGATGTGGCTTCCATTTGCGGGGGGGTTGGCGGGGAGTAAACAGGGTACTTAAAATGGGGTACTTAAAGTCTACTTGCTTGGTTCATTGAGTGATTGCATTATATCTTTACTTTTTATACTCATAAATAGGATGGGCTTATATATTTTCTGGTACTATTTTGCTCCTTCTTTCCCCAACTTCTCCAGTTTATAAAAATAATTAAGGACCATGCAATTGAATGGGTCTCTTCTCACTCAATAGGTGTATGCCATTTCCATTAATGCTAATGGCAATTTAATCAAGGAACCATTAAGGCCCTCCTAACTGTTCAGTGGAAACAGGAACTGGTTACACATATTATTAGAACCAGAACACATTTTGTCCGTTCCCTGTAATACAGATATGGGTCTGAAGGCAGTTACTCTTTACAAATGAGGTGATAGGCATGTTTTATTAGTAAAATCTCACATAATTCATTAAAAAGCTGTAAATGTATCACCATATGGTTTGAGAATATGATAGGTTAGAAAGAGAACCTTTAAAAAAAATCCCCCAGTTGTTGAACTGATAAATGTATAGTATATTGTTAAAGTTTATTAAAATACTTAGCCTGAATATCTATTAAATTCTCTTCATTTATACTATCAACATTTAAAAATACAGGCATGGCTGGGAATTCAAGTAAAAGGGCAGTGGACTTTGCTTTGTTTTGCCTCTCTTTGGCTTACTGAAGGTTCATACCATCCATTTGCTGCAGTGATTGAATTACATCTTTATCCATAAGGAGAGCAGAGACTATACACAGAAGAATGCCTAGTGATGCACTTAAGGTTTTTGTTGCAGTCTCATCAGGCATTGTGGTGCCTGCCTAGATTTCATATGACATACAAAACTCTTCTTGTTTAGATGCCTTGCACTCGCTTCCTTTTTGAAAGGGAATTTGTCCACAGTCAGTGTTTTCAGGGTGGTAACCGAACAATAAGAAAAGATCGGAAGCCATAAAAGGGATACTGTATATTTAAAAGCAAGGAGAGGCAAGAAATGTGCAGAATAATTGCAGAAGAGAGAATATAGACTGCCGGTTCAGCTTAGCAAATAAGAATATGGGCCTGATACTTCACTCGGTGCTCAGTCAAAACTTATCGACATCAGCAAAGATTTTTCCTGAGGAGGAGAGGATGGCAGGATATGACCTGGTATGGACCTAGGGATGTCGGTTCTGTATATCAGCCTGAACCTAACTCTTTTTTTCAGTGTACGTGAATTTTTTTTTAGCAGAACAGAATGCTCCTTAGAGAGAAACAGATTCAGACCATTGCTTTTCTGGCCAGAGTTGTGGGGGTTGCGCTTGTTGCCCTCCTGGCCAGGATGCCAGGCGGTTAACCAGGAGCTTGTCGCAGTGCCTTCACTAGGATTTCAGGCCCAGATCTTCAAAGGCACCAAAGACCCTGTGAGGACCTGGCTATAGCGATATCCTAAAATCAACCTGTGACCCAGCACTGGTTTGTCCTGTCCCCAAAATGCAGTATAGTTGCACCACTCCGGTGACACAAAAGAGCCACAAAGTCACCCTAACTGGGCAACCGAAATCTCTCCTGGCGAGGACAAATGCTCCGGTCACGGGCCTGGAGGATGGAGCGCAGTTGAAGCTGCTTCCTTTTTTTAGACCCCTGTCTGTCAGGGTCCTGCATCGGAGCCTGGGTCTTGTATTATTTCTGACCCAGCTGTCTCAGAAGGACAATTGACCATGTGAATATAGCTGCTGCTGGGAGGATAGTTACCTCTCTGAGGGGCAATCAAAGCAGAATGCAGCTCGTGTTGGCAGGATGGGGAAAGCTACTGGAGAACTTGGCAAAGTTGGCTCTAGAGCGGGGATAGGCAACCCCCGGCATGCGTGCCAGTTAGTGGCATGCGGAGACATTTTCCCCAGCGTGCCAGGAGGCATGCAAGGAAATTGCTTTAAAAATTTTTATTTTTTTTTAAGTTGCTGCTCCAGAGCAACCACAGATCCCAGCGCCACAGCAGGCATCGGGGGCAGAGTCGGGAGAACACAAGCAGGGATGGCTGCATGGGCTCAGACTGCAACAGGCGTGGGCGCCCTGTGGCACCCAAGGGGGGACCCGGCCTGCGCAGCTCCACGGGGATGGGCCATGGCTGCCCTGCCCGCGAGGGTATGCCGTCTGGCTGGGGCAGGACAATGGGCGCAGGGGGCTCCCACCTCTGGGCTCAGCCTCGCTGCATGCCGGGCACAGTGCGAGCGGGGTAGAGCTTCCCCCGGAGCAAGGGCCTGGCTGCGGGAGCCCCTGGACCCCGGAAACAGCTGCCATGGCTGCCCTGGCCTGCCCAGACCCTGGCCTTGCAGCTTCCCTCCAGGGACCCAGGTCAGGGCAGAGCTGCTGCGCTGCAGGCTCCCAGCCGGCTCGGCCCTGGAGCACCCCCAAGCGCTCTGGCCATGGCTGCTGCTGCTGGGGTGTCGCTGTCTCCCTCGGCCAGACGCTATCCTCGACCGGTGGGCCTGACCCGCAGCATGGGGGAGATGTGAGCGGCAAAGGGCACCCCCTCTTTCTTTCTCTTTTTCCTTTTTTTCTCTCCTCTTTCTTTCTCTCTCTCCTCTTTTTCTTTCTCTTCTTTCTTTTCCCTTTTTTCTTTTTCTCTTTTTTCTTTCTCTTTTCTCTCTGCCCTCTTTTCTTCTCCCTTTTCTCTTTTCTTCTTTCTTTTTCTTTTTTTTTCTTTACCTCTTTGTCTTGTTTCTCTCTCCTGTCCTTTTTCTCCCCCCCCAGTCTATTTTCTCTCTCCTCTTTTTCTCTCCTTTCTCTTTTTTTTCCTCTCTTTCATCACAACA